TTCTTTAGGCTTAAAATGACCAGCTCTGTAAACCACTCCTCATAGGGCTTGTTCTCCAGACCCTTGATCATTTTAGTCTCCCTCCTCTGGACACATTCCAGCTTGTCAATATCTCTCTTCAATTGTGGTGCCCAGAATTATTTTACTCTCTTCTACCAAATCACATGTGTTTTTTGCATTTTCCCCATTTACTTGTGCATTGTTCTATTGTTTAAGTACAGTATATTCTGGCGTATAAGACTACTTTTTAACCCAAGAAAATCTTCTCAAAAGTCAGGGGTCGTCTTATACGTGGGTGTAGTTTTATGCATGGGAGTCGTCTTAACTCTATATTTTAACTGGAAAAGTTGGGGGTCGTCTTATACGCCCAGTCTTATATGCCGGAATATACGGTACCTTCTTTTTTCAAATTATATTAGAGAGTTTACTGACAATGCCTTAGTCTTACATTAAATGGGGGAAGTGATGGATTTCCACTACATTTGTTTTAGTTCCTCTGATTTGTAATTAATAGGAGTAGACTATGGCAACTGATGTAAAACAGAATTTTATTTTATAAGTGTTAATTATATAGGATGCAAGCCAAATGTAGGAAATGCTACAAAACAGTCAGTTAATTGCAAATATTACTCAGTGGGTTATCTAGGAGCACTCGTCATGATGTGTTTTATCTTCATTCATTTTTAAAATGTCATTGCGATATAGTCTTAATAAAAGTTGCTATTTGCCTCATATTTATTTTTAACAATAAATATTAATTAGCCTCATATTCTCTTGTGTAATGAATATTTGTCATTATATATTGACTTTTCTTCCTTCTTTAACAATTTTCAGTCCATTCTTTTCTGAATAATACAAAATCAAATAATTAAGATTTTTCCTGTTTTTAAAATATAGAATGCATGAATTAGTTTGCTGCAGCCTCATAATTATCTTGCAGATATTAAATAGGCAATGTTGTAAATAATACAGTGCAGGAGAAAGAGGTACTTATTACCATATCATTAAACCACTTTTGTCCCCAGAGCAAAACTCATTTTTCATCACTTACTAGAAGTCTTGCCTTATAATTATACATATATGAAATTGACAAAGGCACATTGGTCTGTGATACTGGGGATCTTATTCATATTGCTAAGATGCAGTCAGAAAATTGCTTTGTCTCACATCAGCAAGGTTATGTTATTGCTTTGATTTAGGTATTGTTTTCAATCAATAATGTATTAGGAAGTAGGATTTACTGATGTTAGTGTGCATTTTTTTCCATCCAAAACACACTGGGCTTAAATGTTGTGAGTTTTGAGGTTACAATTTTTTTTCATCCCAATCAGTTAACAATGTCCTTGGGACATAGACTTCATAAAAACAAACAACAAGAATCCATTTTCTTGATCAGAATAAAAAGAATGCTAAATAAATAAATAAATAAATAAATAAAGCAATATTAAATAATATCTTTAAATAATCTAAAAATAATGAGGAAAGTATTTGTCCACCCACCCAACCCCCAGAGTTTTCCTTGTTCTCTCCTAGCTAGCCGGTTTTTGTTTTGTTTTGTTTTACCAGCAACCATATTGGGAGGATGGTGGAGCATTAGAGAAGCACAAGACTTTAAGTGTCAAATTCCAGCAGAATGTGGGCAGTAAATAATACAATAAAGATTGGAATAGAATAAGATTCTTCTCTGGTTGATTTATTTATTTATTTGTGGTATTTTCCTGCTTCTTGGCAGGGGGTTGAATTGGATGGCCCATGCGGTCTCTTCCAATTCTTTAATTTTATGATTCTATTGTATACCACCCTTCTAAGCCCCACTGGGGACTTAGACCGGTTCACAGTGTTGGCAACAATTCAATTCAATTATAATAAAATAATAAAATGTTATTTCTCTCACACTAACATCAGAGATTAAGCATAAAATGCAAGTTTAAAAATCATCATTAAAACTTTCTGGATAGGCCTGCTAAAAGAAATAGGTCTTCACTTGTGTCTTAAAATAATTAATTGATTGGTGGGGGGAGCAATTTGTTTATTTGGTCTGTGATGTTTTTGTTTGAACTTTTATGTTATGTAATCTCTGTTTTATAACCATTCTACGCAACTTTGAATCCCACCCATGGGAGAAAAGTGAGATAAAAATTAATTTTAAAAATTTCAACAGCTCATTTAGCTGTTGAAGCTCAACCAGCAGGTTGTTCCACAGTCTTGGAGAGACTTATGAAAAGGTCCTCTGGTCACCAGTCGGGTTCTGGCATGCTGGAGCAGATGCTCCCCAGAGGACCTCAGTGTGTGGGGTGAATAAGACAGAAGAAGGTGATCTTGTAGATAATCTGGACCCAAACCATGTAAGGCTTTAAAGGTCAAACCCAACACTTTGTACTTTGCCCAGAAACTAATTGGCAGCCAGTGAAGTGACTTTAGGATAGGTGTGATATGGATGATCCCATAACCAATCTAGCTGCTGTATTTTGACCAACTTGAGTCTCCAAACTTGGTACAAAGGTAGCCCAATGTAAAGCACATTGCAGGAGTCCAACCTTGAGGTTACCAGTGCATGTACTACCATCTTAATGTCCTCCAGATCTAGGAAGGGGGCACAGCTGGCATATCAGCTGAAACTGATAGTAGCACTCCTGACTGTCTCATCTACCTGGTCTGACATTTGGAGAATCAGATCCAGGAGCACTCCCAAGCTGCGAGCACAGTCTTTCAGGTGGAGTGTAAGCCCATCCAGAACTGGTTGACACACCTCCATCTAAAATGGGCAAGGGGTATGGCAGCTACCTCTGCGATCACTTACTGAACATGCAACAGCAAAATAGGAAGAAAAGAGAAAAAGCCAATAAGCTTGCCTCACTAGCTCTTTACCCAATATGATGAAAGACCATAGTTTGGCCACCAAAAGGAAAATCATAAGAAAGGAGGCTGGACTAAGAAAAAAAATTCCTGGAAGCATTTGGAAGAAGTTTTCCAGTGCTGTCTACAAAAGTCAAGATGGGTTTTTTTTAAAAAAAACTCACAAAACCTAACCTTGTTTTCCGGTTCTGCATGCGCATATTATTAATTTTGGATGAAAAATTTTCTGAAAAATGTCAAATTTCTCTTTGCTGGTGTAGGAACCTATCCCTACTCTTTCTGCTATTTCTTCCTTTGGAACACATCTAGCTTGTATATTGAGGTATATTTGTACATCTAAACTAGATAATTTAGAATACAAGATTCAATAAGGTTGGACTAAATAGGCTAGATTTTTAAAATTTTTATAAAGTTAGTATGAATATACTTTACCTGAAAAGTCTGCATCTTTCCCTCTCTCTATTAAAATACATTAGAATTGTGCAACAAACACTTTCAGGATCATTTATCTGTAGCTTTAGTCTATGCTGTTGTCACAACATTTAAAGACTTGGCACTGGAATGATCGTGTATCTTGGGTATTATAGGAAGGTGAGCTTGCATGATTGGTCTTCCCATGTGTTGCCAGGCCTTTTAAATGTTTTGATAATAGAGTAGTACAAAGTCTCGTCCACATGGTTACTGTACTGTATGAAGACCATCTGGTGTGGCAGCATAATCCATGGCAAAATACCAGTTTTGAAATTTCCAAATTGTTTGACAAATGGTAGGGAACATAGTTTTTTTTCTTCTTTACTTAAATTAGACATTAAATAACTAGTGTTTAAATTATAATTAAATGTAAGATGCTGATAAAGACAAGTGTACTGGGATGTAAGATCACATATCCCAGTTTTCCTGTTAACCTGTACCTGCTATAAACCCTGTGAGAATTAGGTGCATTGAAAAAGATGTTTAAAATTGATTCACTATTAATTCTTCAAAATGAGTCACAGTTAAAAGCTTTATTGTTTGCTGAGAAGGACCAAATTAGTGGACTCTGCAAGATCAAACTAAATTGAAGACATTTGTCCATATTAAAATAGAAACATGCATGGAAAGTATACTAAATGAACATGCATGCTTTTATAATAATAGTTTTATTATCTTCTGCTTGCAGGCCAGACTTTTAATTATGACCCCTTTTTATATCAAGGAAAGTCATGTATTTGGGATTAAAAACCTATTTCTTTAACTACTCAAGTTAAAGGCTGTGGTTTGATACATTCCAGGCTACAACTTTTATAAAAACCAGAGAACACTTCTAATAACACTTTTCTAATTTAATGGTTCAGTGCACAGTCAGTAAAGATTTAAATAATTCAGTAAGAAAGCCCATTCTCTTCCTTTATTGGAAGTTTGAGTCAGGAAAATTCTTTGACATTTAATAGGTTTTAACCCTTTTAATAACTTCTTATAATGAAATTTATTGGAGGTTGTTTTAAATAAAGGGTTATTATATTAGAGTGAATAGCAGTCAGTAGGTTTTTTCATGATTAGTTTCGAGACCTTGGCCCTATGTGACTCAGAGGTTATTAACACATCAAGTAGAAGAGAATGTTAATATTCACAAAATGAAGTGTATACCAAGAAAAGTAACGCTAGTACCTTCATGTCATGATCATGCTCAAAAAACTCTGCCATTAACATTTGGATATTTAATTGTTTTAAAGGAGCTTAAGGTCACTTACAAGAGCTGATATAATGGAAGACAACTTAAAATGCCTTCCATCATGAAAACAGCACCCAAGGTTAATAGTAGAAAACAATAAATAAAGGCTATTTTTGGTGTTTTTATCTCTTATGATTTCAGATTTTAACTATTACAATTCCAGTCACTCAATATAATTGAGTCTCCCTTATGTGAAATACTTGGGACCAGAAGCATTTTGTATTTTGTTACGAAGCACTGTGTGCTGCAAATATCCATCTCTGGAACAGATCTACACGTATAAGCAGTTCCTTTTACAATGTTAACTACAATTGGGTAAATGTTTGATTGAATTGATATCTATGTATTTATTTATTTATACAAGTGAATACCTATCTGAAGCTAATGACTGAGCCAGTTTTTCATTCACTGACATTCATATCTTCTATTTCAGTTGCAAAACTGGACTCACATGGCAGCTGAAGAATTTTCTGTGAGCTTTGTTTTTATATTATATCTGTCTTCTCCCATGACCATAGGAAAATGTTAATTTTATTATCACTTAACATCTGCATTTCAAATATGTAAACATGAGCTTGATTCAATGAAAAATAATCTTTAGCAACACTTGTTAAAATCAGTGTCCTGCCAGATTTTAAGTAGAATGAACTTTTGCTAGATTAGTGCTCCGGTTTTAGCTCCAAGAATGTCCTTGTGCAAGTGGAAAGATACAGCAACTTGCATGTCATGCCACTTGCATGCCTAATTTCCACTTATTTTCCTTTCTGCTATAGCCGCAAACTATATCCTTTATCATTCTTGATTGTCTCCTAACATCTAAAGCAGCGAAAGAGCCCTTTGAGTTTAAACTACTGCAGTTCATATGAAAAAGATCGGGTGTGATTATTAGAACCTAAAGGCATAAAACAACTTTTATGCATTGTAACACATTGATGCTGCTAAAACCTTCATTATCCATAATTCATATTCTCTGAAAGTGTTAGTTGTATGGCTCTATGTATTTATATCTTCTCTTTTCCCCTAATTCTATCAGTTTAGCCAACTGGAGCAACTGAGTAGCTCAGTAGTGGTTCTTGTTCTGTGTATGTTCAGATAGCACTGAGAGCCTTTGGAAAGCTGGAGCTTACAAACAATAGTGAGCTATGAATTTATTCCATGGGCAGGTGGGAAGCAGAGAAAAGTGGGGGAAAGAATCCTTAATAGTGGGGACATTACCTACCCTGGCAAGATACGTTTTCGGAGATGGCCAGCCATCTCACGATGTTTCCCTGCTTTCCTCCGCTTCCGTATGCTGTCTTTAATCAGGAGTTGGGAGAACACCCAACTTCTGAAAATTGACTTTTTTCCTCCATCTTTGCACACTGGCGAGATGGATTTGCATGCACACCCACAAGAAGTGGCAGTGCATTGTGGGAAGACATCCACTGTACTCTGATACTCCAGCATTAGAAAATAGTGAGAAAGTTAGCATGAGCTGAGGTTCCTAGACAGTCCAGTGATCTTTCTGTCTGGTGCATCTTCATTTGTTGCTGTACATTAAGTCTTGTCTTATGGCTGCAATCCAAAAGAAAATGCTTCCATAAAGAGTCACATAGTGTACAGTCACTTCTCTGGGGAGATTGATTCCATCACCCTCAGCAGATATAAAAATCCCTGGATGTTAAAGCCCCTTATATAAAATGCTTAGAACTGAGGATTATCTATCAGAGAGTAACAGAAACAATTCTTCTTTCAACTACAGGTTGATGACAATTAAAAAGTGCCCCTCTTGCCCACACAATGTTTTGATAATTTTTGAATATTTTCAAGCAGTGGTTGGTTGAATCCATAGATGCAGAACTCACGAGCTATGAAGGACTGACTATATATTTATTTCTAAACTTTATGGGAACATACTCTTTCTAACACTCCCTTCCCAGTTGTTGCTGTTATCAAAGATGTGAAAGGATTTTTGTAACTATGAATGTCGTATTGAAAAAAGTTATTCTCATACCCAGTGCATATATAATATTAGTTTGAAAGCACAAGATGGTTGTGTATTTTCTTCCTCTCCAGTCTTCACCCATGTTAATTCTCACAAACTCTTCCTTATGCACAGATGCTATTCATTTGCCTTTAAATAAGGGCATGCAAACTAGTTTGTAGACCTGAAAATATCAGGTATCATACAAATTTTGACTGTGCATATTTGCATACTCTATTGCAGAGGTGGAAACTGTTCAGACTTACAATAGATGTTGGATTACATTTCATAGCAGTCCTTCTTAGCATATCTGATGTTGAGGGATGCAGGTAGTGGCAGTTTTCACAACAGCTGACGTGTCACACAATTCTGCCACCTGCACTCTTGTCACTGATCTGCAACTGCGGCAAAAATAAAAAATGCTTGTGCCAATTGACAAACCAGTTATTTTAAGAAAAGTCAACTTTAATTTGTCCTTGCAGCCTCTTTTTTGAAATCACAAAGGCAACATGATAGTGTGGTTGGCATGCATCAAAAGGGTCTTGTAGATGAAATAACAGGAGAAATGTTTTGTGGAATTACTGTCTGAGCTCTCACAGTCATACATTCAACTCAAGCCATGTATTTTAGTAGCCTTGAGGAGAGGATCCTCCAGTGTTTGGGGTCAAATGGTAACAGGCAGGCTAAATAGAAGGGCTTCAGAGATGCCCGGCTTCTTCGTGTTCTTGCTGCATCTGGCATATTTCCAAGCCTCTGCTGCTAACACCACAAAAAGCAGCAGCTGGTGACTAACATTAGCAAATAAGGCCTCAGGGCTGCCCATATTCAAGTTCTTTATTCACCAACTGCTATTCACTGAAACAGCTGGATCAGAAGCGATACAGCCAAGAAGTAGTTAGAGTTTTATGTGTACAACTGTTCAGATATAGATTGTCTGCTAGAGGCAGAGATAATGATAGCTTTCAAGGCTAATATGTTTGATTAGGATGAAGCTGGTGTTTGAAAGGAGAGAATAAAGAGATAGCAATAATCTTGCAATGTTTTTTGTAAAGATTCAGATGTAAGCCAGGAACTGGCAGTGTACATTGATCTTTCCCCCTGTCTATCATGTTTTCTCTGTCCCACCTCAGGTATTGATTCTATATGTGACATAAATTGTATTATTGGAACCTGCAGAAAGCCTCTTAAAAACAATAATTTATATTGAAATATGCCACTTCAAAAATTTGGTTGCAAAAATAAATCTATTTGTGAAGATGTGCATAGCCAGGTCTGCTAGATACAATTACAGTCATAAATGTGTCTCAATCAGTGTATGCATCACACAATAAATCAAAGACTGATTGTGTAGGTTGTCGATGGATTTGAGCTACTACTTGGTGTGTGCATACACCAACAGTTTCAGGTTTCAGTTTTAAATGATCATATGTTCTACATGATGCTTGAACTTGGCAACAGTGGTTTGTGGGACCTATGGTTTTCAGGACTAGCCCTACAAGGAAGCACATTTGCATTATCCAAGAGGCAGTCATTCTTAGTCATTAATTTATGATCATTGTACTTTTGCCATCAAAGTAGGACCCAAATTCAGCCATTGTGGGAAATTGTATTTAGTTTAAAATCCAAAAGAGGTGTTTGCCTTCAATTTCCTCCATTTCTGGAATGAGGTATGGGAGGAGAGGTGCATGAATCCAAAATTCCCCATATCTCATTCCCATCTGGTTTACAGTTAGGATTGACCAAGTTTCAATGCTCATAACTAGGGATGTAAAAATTTTGGAGATGGCTACTAATAACAAACAGGGTTATTTCATCGAATAGCTGAAAGTATATTTATAACATCAAGTTTGGTGACTTATTACTTTAATACAGTTGAATACAGTAGCTATGTTATTGTCACATTACTGTTTTTCAAATCTTGATCTAAGAGATTTCCTATAGTGTGAATTGGTTGGGCAACAATGTTATTTTAAAACATGGCTTTAAATGTATTTCACTCTATATACCGACTGATGAAATATTCCATAGGATCTTTTATTTCATTCCTTTCAAGATGTCCAATTTTCCAGACTGGGGAGGGGGACAGACAGATAGTAATATATCTCCACCTATATATATATTTAAAAATGAATACCATATATCTTTTAAATAAAACTGTAGAAAGAGTGCTATCTGAAAGGTTGCGAACTGAGCGTAAAATTAAATGAATGTAATTATTTTGCATTAAAACAGTATTTTAGCTTGATTGGTATGTTGTTAATCTGTGCCACGTTCTCCCAGATATGTGAAGTACGCTACTCATTATTAAGATTGTATTAATGCTGCTTCTGTTCGGGAATCCCAAATAGCCAACTAATTTTAGACCCCTCTTGGTATCAACACCTTACAGGCTATTTGGTATGGGATACACACATGTATCTCCTGGAGAAGTAAATGTCCTCCCTCTTCTAGGCTTAGCCCCCAAAATAATAAAATCAAAATGCATTAGGGTCCAAATAACACAGAGGAATAATTTGTTGAGATCACAACTTTAGAGCCTTTTCACATTTCATTTATGGTGGTTTTTGGTAAATGAGTTCTATAGGCACTTAAGCGGTTCATCTGTACTTTACTGCTTTCTCCATATGGAGAATTCCAGTATCCCTTTAGGCATTTTTGGTATACTAAAGTTACAGTCTCATCTACTAAAGCATTCCACATGTCTTATTTAAAACTACATTGATCTGGAATGTAAAATATTATACCCAATTATGCAGTCGCAGCTCATAATATTTCCACTTCTGGATAGTTTTGATGGTGTGATACATGGAAGGGATGCCCTTCCTAGAAATCATGATTTCTTAATTACGAAGCTATTAGCCATATTTTTTTTGTGAATACTTAAATGTTACTTTAAGGTCAAATGACACATTTGCAAACTTGTGATGAGACTTTAAATTTTATTTATTTCATAAATGCATTTTAAACCACTTCAGGATAAATTATCTTTTCAAGAGTGATATAATAATGCAACCAAATTTCTTTGCAATTTTCCTTCTTTTAGATGCAAGAGTTGCGGAATACAGAAGGAGCTCAGTATAGTTCCCATCCACAGATAGCTGCCATGAGACCAAGGGTTCAGCCTGGAGAGATGAGGCAGCCAGGAATGATGCCACATGGTCAACTGACTACTATTAACCAGTCACAACTTAGTGCCCAGCTTGGCTTGAATATGGGAGGAAACAATGTTCCCCACAATTCTCCATCTCCTCCTGGAAGCAAGTCTGCAACTCCTTCACCATCCAGTTCTGTTCATGAAGATGAAGGGGATGATACTTCAAAGGTATGGTTAAAACTTCTATATGGCTTTTATTAATGTGTGTGTGCGTGTGCATATGTAGTTATGTATTTAATCTCCCTAACCTTTACAAATAATTGCTGTATATGATTCTTAATATATGGAATTAAAAAATACAAGGGAACCCTGTGAGACCTATGAGACTGAGGAAAAGACATTTCCAGCATTCGTAGAGTTCAACCTACATGATTTCCTACATGATGCTTCTGATGAAGTGGACTGGAATGCACAGAACCTCATGCTAAACATCTTGTTTCTTCATCTCATAAATGTTACAGGATTCTCTTCTTTCGTGGCATTCATTTCTAAGAATATACCTACACCATAGAATTAATGCAGTTTGACTCAGTGCTATGGAATCATGGCAGTTGTAGTTTTACAATATCTTTAGTCTTCTTTGCCAGAGTGCTGGTGCCTCACCAAATTACAAATCCAAGATGCCCTTAGTTTTGAGCCATAGTGATTAAAATGGTATCAGATTGCCTCAATGTTACAGTGAAGATGCAGTGTAGGTGTGCACAGACTGATTGCTGAATTATGTGTTGTGACACCTCTCCTGGTATTGTTTACTCAATTACTTCTAATTAACACTAATTTTTCAGTAGTTGCTTAAATCTTTCTTTTTTTGTTTTCTGCTGAAACAAAATATTGCAATGTCTTTAAATATTATTACATATTAAATTAGTACATATATATGTTTTCATGACTGCTGTTTACATCTCAAAGGAAAATGAAATATTGTAAGTGATTCTATGGTAAATATTTCCTTAAGTGGAATGATACTGACAACATTGGTAACTTAAATAAAAGGGATTATTGTGATTAGTGGAATACAGATAGCATCGTGAAAACTGTAATTTAATTAAACCCCCCCACTAGCACCGCGCACCCCCTTGTGCCCCTCTCTCTTTAC